TCCAGGTGCTTGGCGTAGATGCCGATCTGGATGGCGCTCCACGACGTGTCGATGAGGCCCGCGGTTCGGTTTTTGAACGTCAAGCTCTCGAAGGTGGGGATGTCGGGCCGCTTGGAGAGCGTCTGCGTGTAGTCCGAGATGGCCCTGGTCACAGGGTCGCGCACCACCACGATGAGCTTGGTGTCCTTGGACATGGCCGAGATGCGCGCGGGCGCTTCCCGGGTGACAAAGTAACTGGGCGTCTTCTCCATGGTGATCTGCCCGTCCAGGGTTCTGGGCATCAGGTCCCTGGGAAGAGCAACAAGATCAAACTCCTGTCAGAAAGTGATACCTTTCTCAACTCACTCTCCATGTTAACGTTTTTATCCCCAGTTCCTCTTATAAGAAAAAGCAGCTGTATCATCATCAAAAAAGCACCAACAGAATTTCAGAGTGGAAGGCACATTAACATCCCATCTGAGTCTTGCAGGGCAGTTCTTACCCAATGTGAAAGCATCTCCAACTAAGGTCAAAAGAGGAAGATGTTCATTGCACCAAATCTTCCGTGAAAAGTCACGTCTTCCTACTGTTCAGGAGAGCCAGCTTTGAGACTGCACACCCATCTAATGCCAAGACACAGAGTCCTTTCCATAAATGACAGCACCCAGAGATTTCACTGCCAGTTGCTGCCCTCAGGTGCTCCCCACTTGGGCAAATGTGTTGTGGGTACAGATGGAAAATGCCCCAAACCCAGCCAGTTGTATTGCCTACATCACAGTGCCCGCTGACAAAATGCCTTCTTTCCAAAGGGGAGACCTGAAGGTAACAAGTCAAAAAGTCAGGTGACATCTGCTGAAATATAAACTGATCTGAATATGCCAAGAGGAAATTTCCCAAGTATTGTAGAAGCTTCCAAAAATACTTGATATTCCTACAAACGACAGGAGATACAGACTATGATACATGGTCTAGAAAGCAGTTTTGTGGTGGCAAAATAAACAAGAGTAAGTGATGGGAGATGAACTTGCTCCCTGAGACTTGACATCTTAATATGTGAAATGGGAATAGTTGCCCCTCCTTCAGGTTATTAAGGAGTTTGTGAAGATGAAACAGTTTAACCATCAAGTAATGTGACTTAGAAGTCAGCTGTCTGGGTTCAAACCCTGACTCTACCAGAACACACTGGTTCTGGGTAACATAAGTACTTGAGTACCTCTTGTGTTGCCCAGAACAAGTTAACTTCTCTAGGTGTCTTTCCTCATCAATAAAAGTAGAGATGATAATAATTACCTCATGGTAATTTAATGAAGATCAATAACCACAGTGTGCTTAGAACATGCCTGATATACAGCAATTGCTTGATCTATAATCGCTACTACTCTAGTGACATATGTTAAGACAAAAGTTGAATATGTATGCACACGTATGTGTATTCTCCAATGTGTTAAAATATTTGGACACCAAGGCTTGAACATAGATACAAAATCTTTCATTAGGTATGGGGATGGAAATATCTGATTAAAACCTGAGTCCAAGAATTTCAAAAAGACACTATCCACATCATTTTAACTAAACATTTACTTCTCAATAGGGCATTCTAAACTTCCAGCTTCAAGTCAGCCCTAAGCTACCAATTCCTCTATTAAGCACATGTAACAGAAATGATAATCTAAACTCTACCACAGAAGCAAAAATGGCAATCCCTGGAGAGGGTGCCTTCTTCACAACAACTTAAAGGAAAAAAGGTTCTCCCTTGAGGAAAACCCCTGTTGCCATCTCCAGCTTAAGCTAAAGCTGGATTGACCCACTTTGCCCATTAACCGCCTAGATGAATGTAGCAGTGTCATCAGGCTAATGTGATGGAGGATTAAAGAGAACCCTGACTCTCAACCTATTTTGCATTTCTCTGAAAAGCAGGTTGAGTCAGAGAAAATTCAATTTTTTCCCCCATTTTAAGCCATTAGCAACTGGACAAGCTACAAGAATTTAATATTCAGAATCAAAGCATCAATCACCACTGAAGGAAATCGAACTCTCAGAGCTCTTCATGGGCACTGCAGAGGCTCTACCGGACCTATCATGGGCTTGAAGTTAGGCCATTGTTTGACACATAGCTTCTCCACTGATCGAGTTGTGTGACCCTGGAAAGGTCATTTATGTGCCAAGGCCTCCATTTTCTCATATACATCATGAGAAAAATGATGATGTCCACCACCTACGGTTTCTAAGAATACTACGAAGCTTAACCTTATATTGAGCCTTGTAGCTTGTGGGTGCCAAGAAAATCTTATCAATTATCTTCTGTTGACAGGATCTTGGCAAGATGTAGGAAGAAAGGTATTCACACAGGGTACTGGTCACTCACCCACTGGACTGTACCCACAAAGGGGCAAATGGGGAAGGCTCAGCTCCTGCCAGAGGCACAGGTGCCAGAACACTAGCTTCTACTCTGCTTCTCTGCATTCTTGCTTCCATGCTTCCCCAGTGTCTCTAAAGAAGGGCCTGGTGGCGACTGAATGGTGTGTCTAAATGAACAAGGCACACAGTAGGACTAGTAAAAAAGAAATGGGAGAGCCTCGCTATACCAAAGGCAAAGTTGCCTTAACCAGAATTAAGATTTCCTGCATGTGGGCAAATATCCTGTGTTTGATGACCTGCTAGTCACCCAACCCATTTGGGAATACCAGTTCCTGGGGCCCCCTCTGCCCAAGACAGTCTAGAGTAAGAACACATATGTCAGAAAGCACTCAAGTAGCCTCATCATTTCCTTTGATCATCAGAATAAGAGGCAAGGGGACAAGTGAATCAGCAAAGACACTGTCAGCCCTTACTCAGTGGCCACCTCTCCGTGGCATGCTTGCCTGCAGATACTGCATGGCCAAAGGATGAGACGCTCAACTGGGTGCAGCATCATTTTGGCAAATGCCTCCTGAGCCCTCTTGGCCGGCTTCCTGGGCCACTTCTGTGGCCAGCACTGGACCAGCACCTCTCCAGTATACCCCTGTGGATCCACCACATAGAGAACACAGCAAAGTCTGAGAAGTGTGTGAAGAACTCATGGCAGAGAACCTTCCAGGAGTTACATGCAAGTCCTCTCTGTCCCTTTCAATTGTTCTTCTCTACCACCCCACCATGTGGTCCTGGAGCAAAGCACTCCCTGGGTCTTCATCCTCTCCCTTCTCACCCTGCTGGCCAGGCTCTCCTGTCCTAACACTCAAGTCTTTTCTGAAGGCAACCGTGGTTCAGAGGAGAAAGACTGAGAAGATGGCCGAGAGCTGAGGCTGGCGTGCCCATCCCAGAAGCTCCAGCAGCCCCTCCAGCCCCAGGTTGGCCTCCTGAGTCGACAGGGAGGTCGCAGGTTAATTGGGCTGCTCATTATGAAAGCCAGTTTCTCAAACTAATAGTCAGAACTAATAATTACATAGTGCTTTGGAGCTTACAGAGAAACTTTCACAGACATTATCTGATTTAATCCCTCACAACAAGCCTTTGAGGTAGGTATTGCCGTCTCTTTCTTACTAATGAGAAAGTGGAGCCAAAGGAGAAAGGGCAATTCCCTTGGAGGTGCATCCCCAACCTGTGGGTCAACAGTTGGCACTTATCACCCCTCTAATGCTGCTTCCATTCCTCACCAAGCCATCTCGCTCTCCACCTGTGTCTCCTCTAAATGTGACAAAGAGCACAGAGCCAACACACACCTGTTCTCTCTTTAAGTAGATACCTGTATTTTTTGTTCTTGTTCATAGATTAGGATCTTAATAATAGGTATTCTGGTGCTAGAATCAGGTAACCACAATCAGAATCATTCAAACCGAATTCAGATTTCAAAACAACAGAACTTCTAGGTTCATGTCCACTCACAGTGAATTGCACCCTGTGGTGGAATATCACCAACATGGAGACACCTTCCTCCTGACCCCATGCCCTCTGTAGGCCACCTTCCTCTCTGGAAGGGCTGGAAGGGGCACCTTGCTGGCATCTGGCACCCATCACCTTGGGTGTTTGTGATGGGACAGGCAGTGGGCCTAGTGCAAGTCTGAGGAAGACAAGCTCATATCTATGAGAAACATCCCCTGGCACAAGCTGAGGAATGCAGAGCCACCAATGAAAGGTGACACTCATGATGGAAAGTAAAAAAGACTCCACTTCCCCATGATACCTAAGGGGTGAGGTCAGCTGGTCACCCTACTAAGGACTGGCAAAAGCACAGGACCTTCTAGGAAGACCACTGGCTTCCACAAGCAGGAGCCTGAGAACAGGTGGGGTTTGCAGGAGAATCAGAAGTTTTCAGCACATTCAGGAATGTTTGCAGGAAAGTCATTTTTTTTTTCTTTGAGATGATTGGTTCATCCCTCGTTGAATTTTAGAATAACTCAGGGCCCTTTGAACGTGGGCCTGACCCCAGTTCTGACCAACAAAACAAGGTGCTCCGTGAGCAGGACTCCAACAAAGGACTCCTTAGATGATTCTAATGAGGAAATTGTCTTTCTGTGGTGTCTGTGGACCTAGAATTTGCCATCGGCCCCAGTCATTTATTCCGCTGATATCCATGTGGAGAGACTGTACACCGGGTATAGAGGGCCACTATGGTGGAAAAAAAAATTAAAAACAATATTGTGTGCTCAGCTAATCCAGATTTCTTTTTAAATCAGTATTCATTTTTTTCACAGTACTGGGAATCCTGATGTCTATGAGTCAAAGACATCTAGAGTCGCCCTATCTCAGTTAAAAGAACAATTCCTAGGGTGAGGGGTGGTCACATCCAGTGATAATCAAAACTACAGAAAACATGTAAAAACTATCAGAAAAATAAAATACAGGAGGCAGGCTTCATTCAAGGAGAAGAAAAGGTTCTTATTTTTTGCACCTAAACATCCTTCTCCCCATCCCAAGCTCCCCCTCCCCCCGCAACACACACACAGAGTAATCAAATACAAATCAAACTACCACCAGTAAAACAAAATGAGACAAACTGAAGGCCACCAGCAGAAAGATAAAGCCATGTCTAATTCTGTGATAAAGAAAGGCTAACAGAAGCATCTGATTCTTTCATCATCAAAGGTCAGATACCATCAGTATAAACAGAAGAAAGGGAAACAAACAGGTGAAGAACAGCACCAGCACTACATTATCTGATGAATGCCCTGCCAAAGTTTGTAGCTGAAAAATAGCACTAAATTCTCTCCCAGAAACTAAGATAAAATCATGTCAGAAAGGACCACTGGGGTCCTTCTCTTTGGTCATCTGGAGGCAGGTGGGTAAGGCACATACCCAGAATCAGGTTGTGGATTTAGAAGCTCAGCCACAGA